TCTTTAAAAAAAAAAAAATGAAAATGTATATAATACACTAACCTACAAACCTCATAGCTTGGCAGTATAGTACAGAAAATCCAGTTATTTACCCTCTTGATTGTGTACCTGACTGAGAACTGTAGCTAGCTGCCACTGCCTAATATCATAGGTGTCATGCTAGATATTGCTAGACCAGGAAAAGATAAAAATTAGAAGTATGGTTTCTACTGAATTTTTATAGACTTTTTTTTTCCCTGTTTATATGCTTATTTATACTGGGGATTGAACCCAGGGGAACTCTCCCACTGAACTATACCCCATTTTTTGAGAGAGAGGGTCTCATTAAGTTGATGAATATGGCCTCACACTTGTGATCCTCCTTCCTCAGCCTCCTAAGTTCCTGGGATTACAGGCCTGTGCACCTGTTTATGGATGAATTATATATGAATTGTATCTCTATAAAACTTTTTTTGGGGCTGGGGATGTGGCTCAAGCGGTAACGCGCTCGCCTGGCATGCGCGGGGCGCTGGGTTCAATCCTCAGCACCACATAAAAATAAAATAAAGATGTGTCCACCGAAAACTGAAAAATAATTATTAAAAAGTTCTCTCTCTCTTTAATTTTTTTTTTTTTTTTTGGTGGTGCTGCTGGGGATTGAACCCAGAGCTTTGTGCATGCAATTGAGCTATATCCCCAGTCCAATAAAACTATTTTTTAAACCTTGTATTTTATCAGGTCTGCCTGGTTTTTCTTTTTTTTTTTTTAATATTTTATTTTTTAGTTGGACACAATACCTTTATTTTGTTTATTTTTGTGTGGTGCTGAAGATCGAATCCAGGGCCTTGTACATGCTAGGCAAGCACTCTACTGCTGAGCCACAACCCTAGCCAGATCATGGTTTTTCAAACTTTCTCTCACATTAACTCACACATTAAGGCATAATTCCTACTACCTATGCCATAGTTGGTTCAGTTCTTTACTACATATAATTTAGAAATACTGCTTCTGTCCTGTGCTTTTTTTTCTTTTTTTAACCACCTCATCACTGTATTTTCCAAACTGGGTAGCAGTATAAAAGTACTGCAGAAGTTAGAATGATCTTGTTTCAAATTGCAGGTTGAATGTGAAAGCTCACCTTTCTGAAATCTAGTCATGAACAAGAGTTAGTTGAGGGCTGGGGATGTAGCTCAGTTGGTAGAGTGCTTGCCCTGCGTGCAAAAGGCCCTGGGTTTGATTCCCAGCACTAAAAAAAAAAAAAAAAAGAGAGAGAGAGAGAGTGTAGATGACACACAGGTGTGCAAGGTCCATCCACTAAAGCCCCTTCCCTGTTCTTTGAAATCTGTCAGGCCCTCTCTCATCATGTTTGCCATTATTTTGCATATCATCCTAATAAGCCGATTGCTGATTTCCAAACCCTAATAGATTAGAATCCATTTAGAATGGGTGTAAATGGTGTGCAATGGACTGAATCCTATCTCCCAAAATTTGCATGTTGAAGCCCTAACTCCCAATGTGATGATATTCGGGGATCTATGATGGTATTAGGGACCCTGGGAAAGGTAATCAGGTTTAGATATGATCATGAAGGGTTTAGTGTCCTTACAAGTAGAAAAACCTGAGAGATTGCTCATCTGTCATGTGAGAACGCTCTTCACCAGAAACTACCTATGCTGGCACCTTAATTTTGGACATCTAGACTCCAAAACTGTGAGATAATAAATTTTGGTTGTTTGAATCATTCACTCTGATATTTTGGTATGGCAACCTGATCTGACTGAAACATGGGGGGAAAAACATCTAATAGTTTTATTCTTTTTATTATAATATGACAGGAGTATTCTTATTTTTCTGCTTGAGAATCTAAAGGTCTCTGTTAGCCCATAGTGGTTTTTTCTTTCTTTTTTTTTAATTGGTACATTATAATTCTACCTAATAGTGGAACCTTTTATTACATTTGATACATACACATAATATAACAATATAATTTGGTCAGCTTTGTTTCCTAGTACCTTCCCTCCCCCTCATCCCTTTCTATTTACATGAGGTCCCACACACATGTGTATGTTTTTTTTTTCCTCTTTTCTCCCTAGCTTCTACATCTAAGAGAAAACATATGACCCTTGATTTTCTGAGCTTGTCTTATTTTGCTAACCTAATGCTCTCAATTTCCATCCATTTTCCTGCAAATGACATAATTTCATTCTTCTTGGTAGCTGAATAAAACTTCATTTTGTGTGTCTGTGGGTCATTTTTTTTTATCTATTCATCCATTGACAGACACCTAGGCTTTTCCATAATGTGGCCATTGTGAATCGTGCTACTGTAAACATGTATCACTGTTAAATGTTCATACCAGTTCTTCAGGGCAGATACCAAGGAATGATATAGCTGGGTCATATGGTGGCTTCATTCCCAATCTTTTAAGGAATCTCCATGCTGGTTTCCATAGTGATTGTATTATTTATACAGTCCCACCAATTTTGTAAAAATGTCCCTTTTCCCTTATATCCTCTTTAGCATTTATTATTACTTATATTCTTGATGGCTACCATTTTAACTGGAGCAAGATGAAATCTTGGTGTAGTTTTGGTTTGCATTTCCCTAATTGCTAAGAATGTTAATTTCTTTTGAGAAGAAATTGCTCATTTTTTGATAGGGTTATGTGGGGGGGGGGTTGGTAAGTTTTTTGAGTTCTTTATATATTCTGGATATTAATCCTCTATCAGAAAAGTCACTAGCAAGGATTTTCTCCCATCCTGCAGGTTTTCTTTTCACACTCATTTCCTTTGCTGTGCAGCAGCTTTTTAATTTGATATCATTGCATTTGTTACTTCTTGGTATTATTTCCTGAGCTCTAGGAGTCCTGTTGAGGAAGTCATTGTGCCAGGAGTAATTTAGGTTCTGCTTCTTTAAACTGAATAGCTTTGTAAGGTAATTTTACTTCAACATATAATATTGCCTTTAATTTGGATGCCTAAACCCTGAAAGCATCACCCTCCACATTTAAGCCTAATGTAAGCAGGGTAGCCACAGACTATTATTGCCTTTGTTACTTAGAGTTGAGAGAGATGCTGGGCTACCACTTCCTTTTTCCACTGTCAACCCCTTTAGCAGACGTCACTAAGGATCACCACATTCTTTCTTCCTGAGCCAGCTGAGGTCGCAGAATCAGCAACAGAGCTTCACACATCTACTTTGGGCCAACATCAGGCATCTCTAATTGTTGCTTAGTTTTGTGTCTTATTTATGGTCATTAGTAACTTGAGAAGACCATGACTAAAAGAATGGATAGTACTCTGAGGTATGATTTATGAAATTGAATAAATTTCAGGTGTACAGGTTCATGATTTTATGTGTATATATTGTGAAATAATAACCACAATCAAGTTTAACACATCTATTATCTCATATAATTACCTTTTTTTAGTATATGGTAAGAACATTTAAGATCTACTCTCAGCAGATTTCAAGTTTTTAATACAGTATTGTTAAGTATAGTCACCATGCTGTACATTTAGATCCCCAGAACTTAAACTTGTAACTGAAAGTTTGTACCCTTTGACCATCTTTTCCCCATTTCCCCTGTCCTGGCATCTACCAGTCTACTCTTTTTTTTTTTTTAATATTTTTTGGTTGTAGATGGACACAGTACTTTTACTTATTTATCTTTATGTGGTACTGAGGATCAAACCCAGTGCCACACCCATGCTAGGCGAGTGTTATACCACTGAGCCACAACCCCAGCCCCGAGTCTGCTCTTTATGAATCGTACTTTTTTTAGGTACTTCATACAAGTGAGATTATAGAATATTTGTTTCTGTCTTATTTCACTCAGAAGATTCATCTGCCATCAAGGTTTATCCATGTAGTYACAAGTGGCAAGATTTCCTTCTTTTTATGGCTGAATAATATTCCTTTGTATAAGCTTGTGTACGTGTACATTTCATTATTATTACTTTTATTTGCAGTTCTAGGTATTGAACCCAGGTCCTCCTCATTGCCAGGCAAATGTTCTACCACTGAGTCACACACCCAGCTACACCACATTTTTTTTATCCAGTCACTTAATTGACAGATATTTAAGTTGTGTCCATGTCTTGGCTAGGCTGTAATGAACATGGATGTATAGGCATCTCTGAGCTACTGATTTCATTTCCTTAGAATAGATATCCCAAAGTGATATTGGAGAATTATATGGAAGTTGTTTCTACTTTGGTGATAGCTCACTGGGATTTTTGATTCGTGTTTCCTGATGGTTAGGGATGTTGAGTTCCTTTTTAGGTACCTGATATTCACTTGTAAGCAGCAGGTTTTCATAACTATCGGGTAAAGTGTGCTTTTCAGAACGGTTGTTGTTTGTAAAACATTCAGGTACTTCTTCCAGCAAGCCAATTATTTTGTGGAATAGAGTTCTACTGTGGGGAGGATGTCAGTCTTTGGAAAAAGCCTTTGACCTAAAGGTGACTGTCTGTTTTTCCACATATTTATTTATTCATTTAAAAACTTGTTTTGGACATTTTAATGTTAGGATGCAGATGAGATATTTATAAATAAGACATTGCTTTGTCATCAGGAATGTAAACTACAGAGAGAAGTCAATAGATGTACAGGAGTCTGTCCTAAGTGAAGTGTTTTGTGCAAGCTAAGAGAAAGAATGGTTAAAAGAAGGGGAGAAAGTATGGCTTAACAGAGGAAGTGGTGTTGAGCAGAAAAGAAGAAAAATATCTTCTTATTGTGTGGGTGTAGCAGTATGGTTTGTTTCCCACACAGACATCTTTATTAATAATGGGTCCTGTTTACCTCTGTTAAAGAATGTGCAGGAGTTTCCTGCCAGAAGAGGAAGAAAAGGTATTCCAGATGCCAGTGAAGCCTGTTCACAGGTTGGGAAGTTAGAATTTTGACTTGAATGATAAAATCCTTAAAGATTAGAGTTAGGTGGAATTCAAACCAAATCCCTTAGTGTTATATATTGGTAGCCCCTTAATTTATTTCAAATTCTTTTCAACCCTGTTTTCCAGGAACTCGAATCATTTATGATAGGAAGTTTCTTTTGGATCGACGCAATTCTCCCATGGCTCAGACYCCACCCTGCCATCTGCCCAATATCCCAGGAGTCACTAGCCCTGGCACCTTAATTGAAGACTCCAAAGTAGAAGTAAACAATTTGAACAACTTGAACAATCATGACAGGAAGCATACAGTTGGTAAGGGATGCCAGTGATGGGGACCAAGGGGGTGGCTCTAGGAATTTTTATGTCAGTTTTCTGTAGGTTGAAAAATGTTGATACAACAGGTATAATGATATTTAGTAGATATATGTCTCTGAAGTCCTCTCACCTCCCAAAGTTTATTGAACTGCTTTGGAAGCCCTGAGTTCCAAATTATAATTAAATCTCATTGGTGGGTGGAAAACAATCCAAAGTCAGGGCATGGTTAACTCAAAGTTGACTCTTGGAACCATACCTGAAGGACTGCCTGGTCAAGGCTTTATTGGGCCAGGGATTAACACCCCGCCCTCCCATACACACACACACACACACACACACACACACACACACACTCACATACACTCACATACAGAGAGGATGTCAGAGCTCCCATTTCCATCGTCTTTAGAGAATAGACCTTTTTCTTTAGAAGAAAGATATCTTCTAATTATCTGGGTGTAGCAGTATGGTTTGTTTCCCACACAGACACCTTTATTAATAATGGGTCCTCTTTTTACCTCTGTAGAAGCAGAATAATGATGTAGAAATGGCCAGCTCTTGAGTAAACCTCAGGGGTTGCACTTTGATCCCCCCAGTACTGGGATCAAACCAGGGCCTCACATATGCTAGGCATACTACAGTACCACTGAGCTACATCCCCACCCCTTATTAATTTTATTTTGAGACAGGGTCTTGCTAAGTTGCCGTGATTAACCTTCAACTTGCCTATTGCCTCTGTCTCCTGAGTCTCTGGGATTACAGGTGTGCGCCACTCTGCCTGGCCTTCACTTGGGTGTTTTTGTTTTTGTTTTTTGGAGCGTGGGGGGCGGGTACTGGGGATTGAGCTCAGGGTCACTTGGCCACTGAACCACATCGCCAACACTATTTTGTATTTAATATTTAGAAGCAGGGTCTCATTGAATTGCTTAGCACCTTGCCTTTGCTGAGGCTGGCTTTGAACTCACAATCCTCTTGTCTCAGCTCCTGAGCCTCTGGGATTATAGGCATGTGCCGCTGTACCCAGTTCACTTTGGTTTTTAATGAACAAAGTCTCAATACATAGAATGTCTCAAGTTCAAAGCTTCCAGAAGAGTGTGCTCACTTGATCTCTGGCAGAGAGCTCCTAGAAGCTGCTATGTTGTGAGCTATGGACAAGGGTATTCTGGGAAAGTTCACTCGTGTTCTTTTGCCCATTTTCTCTTTCCCACAAGTGATGTGATTTTTTTTTTAATTCCATATAAAAAAGGCCAGCCAAGGGCTGAGGGTATAGCTCAGTGGTAGAGCACTTGCACAGCATGTGCAAAGCCTTGAATTCGACCCCCAGCACCACAAAAACAAATGAACTGAAAATTAAAAATATTAGGCAAAGCAAAGTAAAACAGAATGAGTGCTTTAAAGTAGCAGAGAGTGGGATTGTTTGAATTATTTTCTTGACCCTTGTGTATAGGAAATGGTATTTAAAAGTGTTTTGCTTTTCTTTTTGTGCTAAACTTTGTGTTTCTTCATCCTACCCAGGGGATGACGCTCAGTTTGAGATGGACATCTGACTTCCCTGTGAGGAGGAGAAGAAAAGCAGCAACACCAATGCCTATGTGTACCTGATCTGGCTGTAGGATCAACAGTGAAGAGACACAGAGGCAG